ACTTCAGGCTGGACACATTTACGATTATTCACCTGGCAACACACGATTCCGTATTATGTTTTTCTGTACAAATCTGTAAATAAGACCCTAGGAGTTGAGTAACCAAGTAAAACACTGCTGAAGAATGTTGTGGAACGTATGGGCTAAGTCTGGTGTCATCCCAGGAGCTCTGCCGGGGTCCAGGGGCAAAGCATGTGTGTCCTCGTTTTCCAGCGTCATGTTTATGTGCCTTTGCAATGACATTGTGCTTTCCCTCTGTGCACTTGTCCATCTTGCCCGCTCCAGGTGTGGACTGATTTGTAGGTGTGGTCCATCCTGTTCGCTTAAGAAAATTTGTAAGTAGTATTTCTAATTTTATTCCATGAGTTACTGTTGAAATACTGTCTATTGTTTAACGGCTTTTGGTAGATTTTGTTGGGGTGTTTTGGGTTCTGTTTTTTGGGGTAGGGGTTTTTTGGTAGATGAAATGCAAACAGGTGCTGTGCAGGAATTTTACAGATCACTCTGATACTCTGATGAGATACAATAGTATTGCCAGTCTGTGTCACTGGTAATACTGAAAATGCTTGTATAACTGAAAGTTTTGACCTTTTTTGATATCTGTAAGTCTGAAGCTTTAGATACCTGGACATTTCTCCTAAAATGTCTTATTGGAGCATTCCGTTTAGTTGTTTAAACACAATATCAAATTGGCATAGCAGTGGAATATTTGATATCCATTAAAAATATAACAAAACCCAACAAGCATGACAAAAAAAAACCCTGGCTGTGCTTCATGTTAATGCTGTTGTCTTTTAAAGAGGCTTTCTGCTTTTGCATAAGAAGTTATAGTCCAGTTTGTATGATGTGAGGAGGCTGAGGGGAGACCTTATCGTTCTCTACAACTACCTGAAAGGAGGTTGTAGTGAGGTGGGTGTTGGTCTCTTCTCCCAAGTAGTTAGTGATAGGATGAGAGGAAATGGGCTCAAGCTGCACCAGGGGAGGTTTAGGTTGGAAATTAGGAAAAATTTCTTCACGGAAAGAGTAGTCAAGCATTGGAACAGGCTGCCCAGAGAGGTGGTGGAGTCCCCATCCCTGGAAGTGTTCAAAAAACGGGTAGATGTGGCACTTTGGGACATGGTTTAGTCTAGTCTACCCTTGATTGGTTTAGTGTGGACTTGGTAGTGTAGGTTAATGGTTGGACTGGATGATCTTAAAGGTCTTTTCCAACCTAAACGATTCTATGATTCTATGTATCAGGAGTTCCTGCTTGATGGGTAGGTATTCTTTATTTCTCTGAATGAGGGTTTTATAAAATACTGGGTATCCATGATTGTTTGCCTAACTTAGCAAAGGGTCAACTACTTTCTTCTTAATTGTATTCTATACATCAGCATTAAATAGCAGGAGTGCCAGAGGTGACTGCAGAGTCCAGAGGCTAGTGCAGAAGCCACAGCTATTATATCTGGATATACTCTTGTCATAACTAAAACATTTATGGAAATAGGCTTGATATGGCTTCTGTGTGTAATCTTATAACATGTTTTAATTCTGTTTTTTTTGAAGCCATGGCTACAGTCACCTTGATCACTTTAAGTCTGCAGTGCAGGGCATCTTCCCCCAACTCTCTCAGCCTTTCTTGTGCTTGCCATGACACTTGTATGGCTGCATAGAGAGCCAGGCTATGGAACTGATGTTGCTTTAAAAAAAAAAATATTTTTTTCTTCTGTTTGTCTTCCAATAGATCAGTTTCCTTTCAGCAGCAGCACAGATTTAAGTTGGATTAAAGTTAGCATCTAACCGTGACTTGACCTCTCATCCAAGTACACCAGTGGGTGTGGGACATAGCTTTTTATTTTTCTGGGGTTTGCTCTATTTCTGTTTTCCTTTCATCCCTTGAAAGAAGGGCTCATATCTGAGGGTGACCATTTAGATACAAAGGGACAAATTCAGCAAAGGAGACTCCGGAGGTACGGTGTCCCATACAGCATATCTGTTCTGTGGAATTTCTGAAATTTATCTGTGCTAGGAAGAGGTTTTTTGCTTACTAGTTCCATTGCTTGGAATTTATATATTAGCTTCCTTCAGCAATTTTGATCTTAGCTTTTATTTGGCCATAACTCTTAAGCAAACAATGTACCAGCATCTGGGTGCAGATGACCTGATATAGCCTCTTCAAATGTGAAGTTGTTGTATACCAGAAAACCTTAATCATTCTTTTTCTACCTTCTTTAATTTGCATTAGCATAATTAGAAGATGAATTTGACTGTAGGAGTGTGGTTTTTTTTTTCCCTCCCCTTCCTTATTGCAACAGGCCAGGCAAGTTCTTATTTGCATCTTTAAAGTATGCTTGGGAAAGATAAAAATTATCTTTGCCTTAAGCACAGTGCTCACAAATGCTCTGAGCTTACAGACAGATCTATTTTATTTTAAAAAATTACAGTTAGGTAACAATTTATTAATAAATATTACCAATCAGTATGCAAGCTGCCTATGAATTTTGTAAGAATTATTTCAAATGTTCAAATATTCCAATACTTAATATGTAATGTTTTATATAGGATAAAGTGGAGATGGCTAAAATAGCAGCTCTCTTGTTATGTTAATATGGCTTAGGAGTTAATGGACAGATTCTGCAAACACTGAGCTTAGGACCTGATGTTATATTACTGTGTCTTGACCTAAGTTGGAGCATTCATTGTAGAAGGTATTGCTGTTTGTTGTGTTGTCAGGATAGAGCTCTAAACACGGTGTTCTGAAACCCATTGCTTAAAACTGTGTGGGGTTTCTTTTTGTTTTCCCCTGCTGCAGGTGTGATGGACAGGTAGCAGAAGATTTCACTTTGATATCAGGGAATCAGAATGACCGAGTGCTTCCTGCCTCCCACTAGCAGCCCCAGTGAACACCGTCGGGTAGAACACAGTGGGGGTCTTGCTCGTACTCCCAGCTCTGAAGAAATCAGTCCTACAAAATTCCCTGGATTGTACCGCACCGGTGAGCCTTCACCACCTCATGACAGCTTGCATGAGCCTCCAGATATAGTATCCGATGATGAAAAGGAGCATGGGAAGAAGAAAGGAAAATTTAAGAAGAAAGAAAAAAGAAGTGAGTAGGCAACTTCTCTTATTTCATGCTTATAATTCCTCTTTCTCTGTTTCTTTCTCTCTCAAAATTGCTTAATATTCCCAATGGAACTTGTTTAGGTGTGAAGGAAGTTAACTTGTACAAACAGGCTTTGTGCAATACCTGTTTCTCTTCCAAAAACCCCCACACCTTAACCAAAAAATGGATTTGTTTTTTGTTGCACAGATACAGCTGCCAAGCATGTGCCCAGAATTACTAACAAACATGTTTATCCAAAACCTTTAACAATGCATTGGTAATTGCCTGGAATGGGGTTCTCCTAATCTCAATATCTGTTCACATTCTAAGTGGAGGTTTCCAAGTGTATTTCCAAATAGATGCTTTTAGCTGAGGTGCTAGCTAAAAAGAACTGGAAGTTTGACCTGAATTTTGTACTTTTAAATTTGAAAGAGTCAGTTTCAACAACTTTGATGCTTCTCCCTTTTGTCTCCCATATTCAGAGTTTGCTGTTGTGTACCATCTCAAGTTTTCATGTGCACACTGCACCATTATTTCAGGAGCAATAAAATCTGTGTCATTTTTTTTCTCTAGCTTCTCAGTTTAGTCTGATGATGCAGTTTCCTCCAGCAGTACCTAAGTATTATTGCAGAGTTCAAAAATGTGCAAGCCAACATCGGGATCTGAATTTATTAGAATGGACAGAGTAAAGGTTAGAAGAAAGTAAAGCTTTGACTACAGAATCCATTCTTTGTCGGTGTATCAGTGTCCAGAGTGGAAGTTTTCATTTAAAAGCGTACCCCTTCTCCAAAACAACAGAAGAGAAATCTCACTTCCTGCCTTTAGATTTGTGCAGAAAATTTTGGAAATATGAAATAGGTTTTATTCAATAGAGTTTTTCTACATATTCTGAAAGAACAAAGCACTTGGAAATACTAAGCTGATACTGAGCACTCTCAGTACCAGAAAGATCCTTACTGTCCAAGTCTCTGAAACCTAAATATCACAGCCCAAATGTTAGTACTTTTTAAGTGACATTTGTTTTAGCAAAATTTCAAAATAATGTTCATCTTCTACAATGCCTGTATCTCTGATGCCTGGAAGTTCTGGATGCCAGTGTACCCTGCCACTTCTTATATGTGAAATTTGGAAGATCAAAACCGATGAGACAGCACACAATATTCTGGCATGTTAGGATGAATATGGTGACTGTTTGTTATATGCATGCACATATTTAAATAATTACTCTAAGAATTTGCTGCCACTGCACTGCTTTTAAATCAAACCTGTTTCCTGGAATGCAGGATTTGTTTCTACCACAGTTTAGAAGGACTACTGTTATTAACTAAAGACTGTGTGCGTAGAAGATACTGTAACTCAAAAATATATTGTCCTCCAGTTAAAACCAACAGTTTAAATTCCTGCAGGCTTTAAGAAAACTGATTCTTTAGGTTTTTTCCTAATGCAAACAACATTAATACAGAATATTGGATTGGTGATGAAAATTTGGTATTGATTGGATGGGTATAAATTCAAGCTATTAGTAGCTGGCTTTTTTCCTCTTTGCAAATCAGCTTTCTGTTATAACTCTGGATTAGACACCTCTAAATTTGGAATTGTTAGAGGTCAGCATTATACATAGTGTGGGTTTCTTTGTGGTGTAATTCTGCATGTCTCATGGTGATAGTCTAACTGAAGGCTGAAGAGGAAAAAATGCTTCTTCAGCAAATACGTGCAGGCCTGTGCACATTAGCACTGTAACAGCTTTCTTCCACAAGTGGTTACAGCACATTTTATAGCTGATGTAAAGCAATTTTTGTTACTTAAAAGAAGCTTTAAAGGTACGAAAAATCCTCAAAAATGCAAAATGTAGGAAGAATCAAACTCTGTCTTGCAGCTGTAATATAAAAAGCATTCAGCATTTCTTAGCCAAAATACAAGTATGTCATATAATTGCCAGTCAGGTATAAGGGTAAGTTACATACAAAGCTTTCAGTATCTCTCATACAATCCAAAAATGGTCATTATTGTAAATACACCCTGAACAGACAGTTTACTTAAGTAAATGACAAGGGCTCTTTACAGTTGCTTAACATGGTTGATTTTAAGAGTTCCCCTTCCAGCTTTGCCTTTTGTTATTCCTTCCATACTTTTGATTCTTCAGTGTCTTCCACCTTTTAAAATCTATTGCATGTGTTCGGATTGTTTCTTTTCACTTTGCTGGCCAGCTGCTTTGATTTTGGACTATATACAAGCTGCAATGCTCCTGTAATTTGGGGTTTAAACACATATAATTGAACGTTTCAATGAGAAATAGACATGTTGGTATTAAATTATGACAGGGTGAATGTTTCTTCAATATTAGTGAATTAATGACGAGGTCATCCAAACTCCTGAAACTGTAGGACGGTATGTGGACAGGGAGGGATACATGTCCCAAGGTTACTCATTTTAGTTTTTCAGGTAAATCCTTTTTGCTGGAGTAATATACTCTTAGCTTCAGCATTATTACGTATTTCAAAAAAGCATTTTCATATGCCAGCAAGGGATGTCTATAGGGGAGGTCTGTTAGAAATTGTAAGGAGGCCATTGTCATCCTACAAAATAACCAAGTAGGTGCTATTGCAAACAAAACATTATTTTTACTGATCTGATGTGTGGAGAAGCTCTGAATGCAATTTCCAGATCTACAGAATAAGAAGTTTCTACCCGTGGAAAATTCTACTAGAATTTTCTACCTGTGATAAACATTAGAGGCCGTTCATATCAAGGTTTATATTTCTGTGTTGCTACATCCTATTCTACTGACAAATTACTATGTATATCTATATACCACTGTGTATTTATTTAGCAAAGTACCACTTGTAAAGAGTTTAAAAGTCTGCCTTTCAGTGCCAATAATTATTCTAAATCAAAATAAAGTAAGGTAAATTTCGTATTTCAACTTCATTTGCTCTCCTTGCATAGCGCTGCACAGTAATCTTGAATGCAGAATTTGGGAGTACTGTGCTCACATCAGTGAGTTGAATGTATATTAGAAGCAAACTGATCTAACTGAAAGTTGGATAGCAAGTGTTGGTAGTGTCTGTGTTGGTAGTGTCTGTAAGTTTGAAGTTCCTGTTAATAATACATCTTGTGGGTGAGGAGAGGAAATAGAAGTCATCTACCCAAGCTCATTAGGCATCCATGTGTATCTTACTGTTTTATTTAGCAATGGTATATAAGTTGATGGCAATCCCTCTGACAAATTGAAATTATATAACTAGCATTGCACATCGGTCCATATAGTCATATTTGACCTACTAATTCTTCCATATGTAAAAACGATCCATGTTTTCTTTCAGTGAATTAATTACAGATGCATGCAAATTTCCCCAGGGAGCCAAAAGCAGATGTAGAGGTATAAATTACTTATAAAATACTGGTGAAAGGGATACAGTAATTTTATTACCGGAAGTATGGTAAAGAAAATTGGACTACTCTGACAGGCATACAAATCCCCTCTTGGTATGGGTGGGAGGTTCTCTGTGAATCTGTAATTAGTATATATTTCTAAACTTTTGTTGACTTTTGTTACTGATACAAATTAAAATAGGCTGGTGTCCTGGTTTTGGCTGGGATAGAGTTAATTTTCTTCCTAGTAGCTGGCATAGTGCTGTGTTTTAGATTTAGGATGAGAATAATGCTGATAACACACTGATATTTTAGTTGTTGCTAAATAGTGCTTACGCTAGTCAAGGACTTTTTCAGCTCCCCATGCTCTGCCAGATGCACAAGAAACTGGGAGGGGGCACAGCCAGAATAGTTGATCCAAACTGCCCAAAGGGCTATTCCATACCATATGACGTCATGCTCCGTTTATAAACTGAGGGGAGGTGGCCGGGGGGCAGCGATCGCTGCTCGGGAACTGTCTGGGTATCAGTCAGCGGATGGTGAGCAATTGTATTGTGTGCCACTTGTTTTGGTTTTTATTATTATTGTTTTCCTTCCTTTTCTGTCCTATTAAACTGTCTTTATCTCAACTCATGGATTTAACTTTTTTTTTCCCCCGAATCTCTTGCCCATCCCACTGGGAGGGGGAGAGTGAGCGAGTGGCTGTGTGGTGTTTAGCTGCCTGCCGGGTTAAACCACAACAGCTGGTTTTGTATTTAACTTGCTCCTTCATGTCTTCCCATGAAGTCAAGAAATACCAGTTTCAGTGATGTGCTGTTGCTGGTGTTACATTACCACAGATCTAGAAAAGCACCAAGGTTTGCGTTGCAACAGGGAGTGTTGAGACACATAAGGCAGGCGCTCTCTTGGTGACACCGACCTCCAAGCTTGGGTCCCCCGTGCTGACCCAGAGGACGTGCTGATGCTATTCCGAGTGTCTGTGTGTGGGAACCCTACGCTGTTCGACTGGGAGCTATTACAACTACCCAGCAGGAAAGATTGAGGGCAGATTGTTCTGGGCTCTGGTGAAGATTTGGCTTTCTGTTTGGAAATGACATCTGTGAGCCCCATCTTGAAACAGTGCCAGCCCCATTTCATTCTCACAGAACACAGTGGTGATGTGTGGTCCTCCTTTGTCCTGTAGCTGGTGCATCAGCAGTTCTTTGTGTATCAGAGATTTGAATCCTTAGTTTATGCACTGCAGGTTTCCTTACCCATTTCTGGGTTTAGTTTACAAAAAGAGTGAATGATGGTATAGCCAGTAAACCGGGAGGATGAGACCTGGTTGCCGGTTGTCCTCCAGTTAACATTTGCATTTTCATATTAAAATTCAATTGGACAGGAACAGTGCTACAGTCTTTCTCCATCTTCTATGAAAATGCATGTTTGGTAGGCCTAGGGAAGAGTCCAGGATGGGAAGGGTCAGCTGGTCAAACAATTGTAATTATTTTATGGCAGTTCCATGCTTTAATACATTTCTTATATTTATTTGACTATTAAAAGCTACCTTCTACAGAGCAGCCAAGGAGGCTTCAAAACACAGCTCCTTGGAGGTGCTGAAATAATGCTGAGAAACTGCAGCTTAATGTAGTTTAGAACTGGAAGAATAAAAGACTGAATGTCCCCTGGTTCTTTTGCACAAGATCTTTCACCTGTGAAAGTTAAAGCCTATAATCTCATCTGTGATGCGCTCCCTTATAATCTAAGGGGGTAATTTTCCATTGCCCAAAACTATTCACACAGGAAGAGCACTCGGCTGTCGGTGTGCTTCCTCACTCGGGCAGAGGCGCTGCCTGTAGGCAGTGGAAGAGCCTCGAAGGGTCTGTGTAACAGGGGCTTCGCACTGGAGCAAGAGCTTGCTGCCCACTGCCTTGGGGGACCTGGCTGGTGCAAATGGCATGTAAAATGTCATCTTTGTTGGCCAGGTTTCAGGCTTACTTTTCTTATACAGGGCACTGTGTACATAAAATCACAGTTAAGTGACTTGGAAGTTGTGTTGGTTTGTACGTTGTTGGGTTTGGTTGTGGGTTGTTTTTCTGTTGGTTGATTGGTTTTTTGTGGTTTCTTTTTTTTTTGTAATCCACCTTTAAAGATTTCCTTCTTCTTGCCTGAAGGATAGGCAGGGCTAGCTGCAGAGGCGTAGTTAGTAAAAGCACTGGTGCGCGTTTTACACGGCAGTTGGTGTTTTGCTGCTGAAACAGTGTACTCCGCCCATGGACTTGTTTGAAGCTCTCGTGTATGCTTTTTAAGGCAAATACACAACTTCACTGACAGGTATTGTGCTGGTGTTACTGGAATTGTTTTATTCGCCTAGTGGAAAAGTAAGTGTACTCGGGCTTTTTTTTTTCTTTTGGAAACTTTTTGGTATTTGAGGCTGAAACGTTATGAACTTCATGCTTATCTTAAAATGCATAATCTGGAAAGGGATTGGGGACTTAAGTGGCTGAAGTTTAGTTTGTTAGACTTATGTGTATGTAGTAGATGATCCTTAACAGTGACTTTTATACTGTTGATTACAGGAACATAGAGAAGTTGCCAGACAGTTGTTTTTATTTTGCATTTCCCTGAATATTAGATGGGAAACTAGCCCATAAGATGGACATTGCCATTATGAGTAAGTATATAAAGTATTAATTGTTTAGATCGTTCAGGAGCTGTGTGGCTTATCTTCAATGTGATTATGCAACCTTGATTTAATCCTTGTCCACTTAATTGCGTAACTAGAGAAAACCTTCTGAAGAGTCAGGCAGGCGCTATTGTTTAATTCATGTTGCTGCTTCTCTCTCCTCCTTGCATATTACTTCTTGTTCTCTCCCTGTTGTAATATGCTATCTAGAAACTAAACAGACTTACAGCTGTCCTTTTGCCTTCTCCTTTGCCTAATAGCGGAAGGTTATGCTGCATTTCAAGAGGACAGTTCCGGTGATGAAGCTGAAAGTCCTTCAAAGTTGAAGCGGTCCAAGGGAATACATGTCTTCAAGAAACCCAGCTTTTCCAAAAAAAAGGAAAAGGATTTTAAAATAAAAGAGAAACCCAAAGATGAAAAGCACAAGGAAGACAAACACAAGGAAGACAAACATAAAGAGAAGAAGTCAAAAGACTTAACTGCAGCAGATGTTGTAAAACAGTGGAAAGAGAAGAAGAAAAAGAAAAAGCCAATTCAGGAGACAGAGATACCTCAAGTGGATGTTCCAAGTCATAGACCCGTGTTTGGCATTCCTTTGTCTGATGCAGTAGACAGGACCATGATGTATGATGGCATCCGCCTGCCAGCAGTTTTCCGTGAATGTATAGATTACGTAGAGAAGTATGGCATGAAATGTGAAGGCATCTACAGAGTTTCAGGTACTCTGGGCACACTGACATGCAGGTTCCTAAGGTCTTTACTTGCAGTTTTCATATTATTTTACCATTTTCAACACCTAGAGACTCTGTTTATAGTGCATTAACTTTAATTGTCAAAAAGATAATCAGGTAGCTGAAGTTAAGCAAACCTATAGGTCTGAGGTACCAGAAAAGTTGCTAATATGGTGGTACTGCTTAATGGCAGTAAAAATACACTTGTTTTGGCCTTTTGTGTTAGGCTGGTAACAATGAATAAATATGTTAGTGTGGCCAGCTTTTTTTTTTTAACTTCTGCATTAGAAATACAATGCTAGTTGATTGCAAAAGCAAAGATAAGATATAACCATTTTATTACTTAAGCTTCCCACTAAGTTGCTTTGTCTGCTTACTTCCATTGTATGATTTTTTTTTTCTTAAAAACTTCTTTTCTTTGAGCAAATACACTAATAAGCAAAAAACGCAAACTTCACGATTTAAGCTTAGCAACTGCAGGCTAATTAACCATGGTAGTTGCATAACGCCAGCTTACATAAATGAAACATCAGTTTTAGTCACATTAAACAAAACAGTCCCTTTATTTGTGAACTGCCTCTGCAACGTAACTTGTGTAAGTACTTCTGTGGGTCTGTAAGGGAGCAAGAACAAGTGAGAAAAGGAATTTGACGAAAAGCATTTGAAACAAGTTGCCTAGCACTGTAAAACAGTAATCAGTCGATTTTAAAAGCTTCATTAAGCTGTCTTCATGCTGTCGATCTGCGTGTTATTTGGTAGGCATGCATAAATACCGCAGCAGCTTAAGCAGTTTCTTCATCTTGCCTATTGGAACATTCTGGTTGCTTGTTTTTTCAAGACAACAATGTGTTGGGAATTTTCACAGCAGAAGGTGTGTTTTCCGTAAATCAGTTTTGATGTCTGTACTTTGTAGGTGTTCTCCAGTGCAATAGCACCCTCTTGTGTGTGTAAGATTGTTTAAATTGATTGCTCAGAAAGACAATTGCAGTGGCTTAACAACCTACCAGCCGTTGTGATGACTAACTTACTTGGACGTGAAACTGAGCATATTTTACCTGGCATTTACCATGGGCTGAGTGCACCCAGTTTTGCTTGAGCCAAGCCATAGCAGCGCATTTAAGTCGGTGTAACTCAAGTGGGTGTTTGAGCTATAAGAATGAAATTTCCCTGAGTTTGGGAAGATTGGAATGTCACTGAGGTAGAAAAACAACTTGCGGAAAATCTTGGCTGGGTTGAATAATTATGTGAACGCACTTTTATTCACACAGTGCCTCAAATCAAGAATCCTGTGTGAGATTCCTCCGCTGAGGAGGGCCAGCTGGAAATCTGGAAACTAAAAAGTGTGGGTTTTGTTTTGACAGAAGAAAGCTGTTATAGGTAGAACTTGTTGCACAATATTTGAGTTGATGGCATATTTGCTGCTTGGCTTAGGGCTGTACAGTTGAACAGCCTGAAAGACGCTGAATGCAAACACACAATTGATCTTATGTTCCCCTACCCTTCCTCACCCTATTTTATGTTCCTTGATGCAAGGGAATGCTGGTGCCAGTTCTGATTCGGAGCTTCAGCAGTGCTGTGGTTTTGCTTCATAGTAGTAGTCGGTGCTTTTAGAAGCAGTCGTCAGTGATCACATAATTTTGAGTCATGATTTTAACTTTGTTACACGTAGATAACTTTTAAAAGGTATCCCTCAATTAGCTTACATTCTGAGAAGTGAAATAAATGCATCTAAGTTTAAATATAACTATTACATGTTTACAGTTGAAGATTTCTCTTAATTCTTGATCTAAATATTTTAAGGAATAAAATCAAAAGTTGATGAGCTAAAAGCAGCCTATGATCGAGAAGAATCTCCCAACTTGGAAGAATACGAGCCCAATACAGTAGCCAGCTTGCTGAAACAGTACCTACGAGAACTGCCTGAAAATTTGCTTACCAAAGAGCTAATGCCCCGCTTTGAAGATGCTTGTGGGAAGAGCACAGAAGCTGAGAAAGTCCAGGAGTGCCAGAGGTTGCTGAAAGAGTTGCCAGAGTGTAACCATCTCCTAATTTCTTGGCTGATTGTGCATATGGACCATGTTATTGCGAAGGAACTGGAAACAAAAATGAACATCCAGAATATTTCTATAGTGCTCAGCCCTACTGTCCAGGTACGTGCACCACACAGCAAGCGTTAGGGCAGAACTTCAGCCCAAGAAAGACTCCTTTGCAGGAATTCTTTTGCAGGTGGGAAACAGGTATTGTCTGATACACTTAAGCTAAAGTACAACTTCTCTTTATACCTTGGGAACCTAAAATGGTGGGAAGGGGGAACAAGACTTTCTGAGTGTGAGATGGGTCTAGTATGGGTCTGATATTTGTGTTATTAGGAGAGAATGACAAAGACTGCTGTTGGGGTTTTAATTCTGTTGTGAACAGAAGTAATTTAATGTTGAATTTGCCCAATAATTCATGCAGATACACAATTTCTGTGGGCTTGTGACTCAGTGATAATTTAGCAAAGACTGTATTGTTGCTTCATTCCAATATCAAGCCAACAAACCCTGTCCTGCAAAGAGATCTTCCTGGTGCAGTAATGACTTGGGTATAATGGCTTTGGTGTCTGCAGTCACATTGCTGGGGAAAACAACTGACTTAGTTTTCCAGTAAGATTTTGTGGTTTCTGGATTGATTAATTCCTTAATAAACATCTTGGAAGTATTTAATTTAAATATAGCTCAGAATTATCCTATGCATAATGGAACCATGGCATTATTGGGTGTGGGTCTTCTAGAAGAAAACCCACACTTTAGAAGAGCTTGGGTTTATAATTAAGAGTCTAGGTGGAGGCCCAGTAGCAAGGGCTGCGTAGTATTCTGGCTATTTTGCTGTGCCAGACATTTTTTAGCTAGCAAACGAAGTAACAATTAATGTAAAACAATGCAGGCCCAATCATGTTTTGTTGCTAAGTAGATTTTAGCAATTAAAATGCAGGTAGTGACAGAACTCTAATCTTTCTTTTGGGATAAATATTTTAATTTTAATGAAAGATACAGTATCAAAATAAACACTTGCTTCTGTCTCATGTTAAAACAAGTACTGCACTAGCAGCTCCTTTCAAACTACTTTTTCTACTGTATTAAATCATCTGAGAGAAGTTGTAGAAAATACTTACAGGGTGGGGGGGGTGGAAGAAGGTAGCCAGCGACCAGCCGTAGTGCAGTACGGTTGGTGTTCCCTCTTACCTATTGCTATCACTAACTACCTTTATGTGAGTGAAAAGAAAGATTTAATACATTTCTGTACCTACCAGTGATGGAAATCATTGTGGTAGGTTAAAGCGTGTGAAAACTCTGAGTTTAGCATGAAAATGCCTCAGATAAACAGGTAAGAGAGACAGTGAAGTGATTCCTTGAGGGCAGCACCAGGTCGTTTAAAGTATCAGTTTTAATCCAGTTTTTAATCTCTTAGGACAAGCTAACATGACTGTGATTCACAGAAAGGCATACTAAGGGCTGATCTGTTTCTGGAGGAAGACACTATGCTTCACAGATAAAGATCATGTGAATAAATCATCTTAACCAGTTATTTTGTCTGTCCTTTCTGTGCAGATCAGCAACCGTGTCCTGTATGTATTTTTTACACATGTCCAGGAGTTCTTTGGGAATGTGACCCTAAAGCAGGTGACAAAACCTCTTCGCTGGTCAAATATGGCAACAATGCCAGCACTTCCAGAAACACAAGAAAGCATCAAAGAAGAAATCAGGCGACAGGTTGGCACTTACTTTAGTGTTTTTCTGTTTATCTTTGCCCTGGCTTTTATACATTCAGCAGTAAATTCTCATAAGCTTGTAACATACTCTTTAATTGTATCACAATTGTCCTGTTGCTGGAGACCACTGGAAGGAGATGGATGATATTCTTGCCCATTTCATGTGTGGAAAGTTTCTATGGTCTTGTGATGACTATAGCCATGTCTTTTGTGGATCGCTTTGCTAAGTAGTTCAATACTTTTATGGTGGGAGGAAGGTTGGGAGAACATGCTGAAGAGCAACATTAAAGAAACCACACGTTTTAACTCGTGCTGAATGTATGTTAACACTTGTTGGTCGACATCTTAAGCTTTGAAAACCAGAACTCCAAGCCTGTTGCCATGAAGCCAAACAGATTTTTCTTTTCAGTCTGCCCTGCTATGATACATTAAAGACACTAATTTCTTTGGCAATATTATTTCTAGGAGTTCCTACTGAACTGTTTACACAGAGACTTGCAGGCAGGGATAAAAGACTTATCCAAAGAAGAGAGACTCTGGGAGGTGCAAAGAATCTTAACAGCTCTTAAGAGGAAACTAAGAGAAGCTAAGAGACAGGTGGGTAACTTTTCTATTTATTGGCCAAATGTGTAAATCATAGGTGAAACTTATGTGGGGTATTTTTAACTGTGGCAGTTCTTCCTAAAGTTTCATGACTGTCCTTTCTTCACTGTTTACCCCTGTTTCTTGGGGAACATCATTCAGCCTTATTGTTTAATCTTATAGCTGAAAATACCATAAATGTGAGGTGGGTCCACAATCACGGACTAGGGGGTTCTTCTAACGTTCAGAGGCCGTGACAGGTGTACAGGGTCAGTATTCTCTGGGTTTATAATTTAGATTTAGACAGGATGGGGGCCACTGAGGAATTTTATTACGAGTTCCTGTCTGTGCATTCGACTTTTCATTCTGCTCTGAGTTTTAGCTTGCAAACCCTAAAGAGAAACATAAAAGATACTTTCTAGAATCAACTTTGCATAATTTCTGCTATTATTTTAAGAAACTCCAGTTACAGAGCTCTGAAAGTACGAGAAGAGAAATGCATTTTTAGGGAAAACTGAGCAATTAATGAGTTCATATAGCTGTGTCAGCTAGAAATCTTGAGTTTTGCTCTTCCATGTATTTCCAAGATACATATAGAGAAAGGGACAGATAGACAGGGTGTATGTATTCAACAGTGCTTTGAATGCTTCTGTGGGTTCAGTAGGAAACGGATCACTTGACCACTACTGTTTTGAAGTATAGGTTTAGTGTGTTACACTTGTACCTAGGATGGTGTTCTCTGGGTGGAGCAGATAATCTTTATTCTTAGTATTCATACAACTTGGAACAAAATATCTGAGCATTCCCTAATTTGTGACAATGCAAAAGACATCCAGTTAGATCAAACCACATTTCAATCTTTTTATTGCAGATTTTTTCATCTTAACTTTAGATGGCTGAGGAGCAGTTGCATTTTCTGGTTAGCTGGCTCCCCCCAGGGACAGCAAGATCTTCACACTCCTTCACAGCTGTTTACAACAACAACAACAACAACAAAATTAAAAACTTAGTGTTTGACTGAGCATGTACTCCTTAAATGCTTAAAACAGTGTGTCCTGGAGTACCAAGAAGAATTACTGGAAGACTCAAGGTTAACAAACTTCAGAAGCGTTTTTTTTAGAACTGTCACATGTCCCAGAGACAGACCTTGGTGAAAACTTTCAAAACAACTGAGACGGTGATTCTAAATTTGGAAAATAATTTGTTTGAAAAATATTTCTTACAGTAAATAGAGTGACTGGGGAAGCTGTCCTTTTAAAAGTTGTTCTCTTTCTCTGGCAGGAGTGTGAAACAAAGATTGCACAAGAAATTGCTAGCCTTTCAAAGGAGGATGTCTCCAAAGAAGAAATGAATGAGAACGAAGAAGTTATAAATATTCTGCTTGCACAGGTAGATGGCAGGCACTTACCCATTTGTCTGCTGGTATTTTCTTGTTCCGTATCTTTCAGAAATATTAAAGATTCTCTTGTCCCTTCTAATGCAATGAGAAATGGAAAGCTTAAAGGGGTCTCTCTGTCAATTAAAATACAAGGCTTTGTTTTAATGGTAAATAAAGTAGGAAAGGAAGGCTGACTGCAGGAGGGAACCCAAAGCTGAGTAGACTCTTGTTAACAGTGGAGACACTGTGCAAACAAAAAAAAAGGTAGCCTTTGGTGTTAATATACTTAGAAAGCACTTCCAAATCC